CCAGAAAAACCAGGGTTGTTTTTTATTGAGAAAGCTCTCTATTGAAACCTATACTTTTGTTACCAATAGCACTTAACTCAAAGGTTGGAAATATAATACAACATTGTTGAAGCAGCTGGTGCCCTATGAGGATGGAAAATCTAGAACTGATAATTATTCCTTCTAACTGATATTTTACCAAATTAGTGTGTGATAAGGGGGGGGAGGGGAAGGGATTGCTTTGTTCTTTGAAATACCATATTTCAAGTTTAAAGGTTTGTAATCGTGTAATTTTGTGTGTGGAATTTTCATACACTGTAGGCTGTGGGATGGATACAACTGTTAGACTGATTAGACTTCTAGCAGTGAAAACCTGGGCTGAGAGTCATTGGTGGCAGAAAGTTTGTTCAAAGGAGTACTGAAGAGGGGGTAAACAGACAGAGGACACGAACCTACATCCTTTTTTGACAAAGCATAAAATAAAACAACAAGGCATGTTTTAAGGATGCACCTAAAATTGGCATTTCTGAAACTCCTCTAGGCAAATATTTTACTGCTACATACTGTAAACATACCAGAGTGTATATTTATATGCAGCTATAACATGAGCTCAAAATAAAACCAAATAGAAGTTGCACAGTTTGTGTGTCAGACAAATGTACAGGATCTATCTCTCTGGGAACCAAAGATCTGAAATTAGAGGGTAGTGGGAATTCTGCCACTACATTTGTTTTGAAGCAAATTGTTAGAGTATGTGGTTCACAAAGGACTGGACAAAGTTTTGTTTATTTTTGTTTATTTTTTTTTAATACAAGCAATGGTTATTGAAATTAAAGAGTCTGGGAGAAATAACCAACAAACCAACTTTTAGAAAGACATTCCATGTGCTGGGACACAGTAAGTCTAAGGTTGTATAAAGTAGATGAAACCAGGGTTTACCCAATGATACAGTTGTATTTGGTTCATATGGACATCTGAGTTTGAATTCTTTTCCATTGTCATTCCTCTCCCACAGCGTCAAATGTTTATCCTCTTGAAGTCTGTGTTAAAATTCCAACTGACTTCAATCAATGGGACCAGTATTTGACCATTAGGCCTTTGTAAAACCACCATTGTTGTGGTCTCTTCTTTTAAATCAATGGAAGACATACACCTCTACCTCGATATAGCACTACCCGATATAACATGAACTCTGATATAACGCGGTAAAGCAGTGCTCCAGGGCGGGCGGGGCTGCGCACTCCGCTGGATCAAAGCAAGTTCCATATAACACAGTAAGATTTTTTGGCTCCTGAGGACAGCGTTCTATTGAGGTACAGGTGTATATAAAATATGCATGTGACAATTCTGCTCTATGTATAAAGAAAAAGGAAAACACATGAAAAACAAAATCAAGGGCATTTCAGTTCATTATCTATACAACTGACACCAAATCTCAGGATATACTTAGTTACTGAAAATAATTTGCTTATGATCACAGAAAGATTTCTGCCTATTCCTGCATTTTTCCTAACAAATGGAACAAAATTCCAACAACACAGAGGATCCCACCCCCCCCTAAAAATAGCATTTTATTGATTTTAAGTTTTAGCACACATTTTCAAAGAATAAAAGAGCAAACAGGAGGAGAAAAATGTACTGTAGTCATATGGTTACACCGCCACCCAATAACTCAGGCCAAAAGTTCCAAGTCACCTAAATCCATATTTATGCAGTTTCATAAGTCAGTGGGAGCTGCACGTAGTCAGCACTTTCATAGGACAGGACATTTATTTAGGTGCCCATATTTTAGGCACCCAACCTTAATAACTGAAGACAGAATTTTAAATAGTTTCTCTGCCCTGTGTTTTACAAGGCAAAGCAATGAGATTCATAACAAACTCAATATATAATGTATCATTCAACTAAAGAACACACATTTGACACAAGCAAAATCAGTGTAGCCTGCAGTGTAGCCTGCAGCATTCTAGATCCTTCTGTCCCAGCTGCCATCTTCCTATTACTGCAGGTTGGGGACAAAAGCAGTTTGTTTGTTTGTTTGTTTGTTTGTTTGTGAACTCAATCATCAAGCTATTTCTATTATCTATCAAAAGAGAAAGACGGAACAAAGACAATTTGTGTTTTATGCTTGGATTTTGTGTTTGAATTTTAAAATGGTGTGAATTTATTTAAAAATTAAGTTCAGTATTTCAGCTCCTGGCTAGTTACCATTGTGGCTCTAGGTCGTCCAAAGTTTGCTCATCCACGAGTTAAAGAGTAAGGACAAACTCTTACTCTCTGTTGTGCTGGAGCACAAGAGGGTGGGGTTTTGCGGAGGTGGGTGTGGGAAGAGGTTATGTTGGTTGAAAGGACAAGCCAGTTGAGTGTCTAGCCCCCTAAATTGTCAAACTGTCGAGCACACTTCATTATTATACATACGTCTAAGGTACCCTTCCCATGCATTTAGAAGTACATCAATTCCCTGAAGGAAGAGGAAGACTGTGCCCTTCTCTCTCCTCTATCAAATCAGATTGGTATCCTCCACAGACACCACAGTTCTTTTTCCTACTCAGAGAAGTAACAAAGTGTCCTGACCCACAGAGGAATCCCATTGTGGCCAGCAGAATTCTTCTTATGGAGAATCCAAATCTTGTCACCCTCAGACCCCTTATTGCAGTGGTGCCCAAACTTTTCTGTCACGCCCCCACTTACCAGTAACGGAATCTGTCCGCGCCCCCCATTACTGCACTGTTGGTCAGTAGAGGAGCTTGGGCACAAGGTGCAGCTGTTCTGGGGGGGCGGAGAAGGAATGAAGGCAGAGCTGGGCTGGGGGATGGAGTGGAGCTGCGGCTGGGACACACTCCATCCCCACCCACAGTGGGGGTTGGCCTGAGCCCCCCAACATGCCCCACCAAGCGTTCCTCTGTGTCCCCCAAGGGGGGCACGCCCCACAGTTTGGGAACCACTGCCTTAGTGTGTGGTGGGTGGGGTTGGAAAAGATCTACAGTCCAGATCTATAAAATCTCTCATATACTATAAAGTT